AAGCTTATTGTTATTATCAAACGATTTACGTTATCAAGCTTAACCTCCCTATTTCACTACATTTCAAACATCTTAGGCATAATAAGTATTTATTTATTTTTAAATATTTATTTATTTGGTACAGGGTCTCACTATGCAGGTTGGACTCCTAGTGATCCTCCTGTCTCAGCCTCCCCAGTGCTCAGATTACTGGCATGCACCACCACACCTGGTTCTGAGGCCAGCACGGCATGTGGTACCAGGAATCGAACTAGGGTCCTTGTACTTTCCAGGCAGGAACTTAGATCACCAAACTATCTCCCCAGCCCTGTGTTAATTATTTATATCAGGCTAATTTATCCACTTGTATTAAAAGTCATAAATTCTGAAAGTACAAAGTATTTAAAAGTAAAACATATTTAGAGTGAGACTATAACTTGAATTTGAATTTATATGCTATGCATTATTTGGGATTTACATTTCAAACAATAGCATTAATTTGCTTGCAAAATTTAGATAATATTATACAAGAATTGAAAAAATACAGATAATTATTTTGAAAATAGTTTTTCTTAGTAGCTTAAAAGACCCTCTACAGGTGAAACATTGTTGAAAACCCATGAAATAATTTAGAATTTTGATTCAATCAAAATCAATGATTCTGAAAAACAATTTTCAATCTCTAAATAAATATGTGTGAGGTAAGGGGACACAAAGTCTAAGACCATATAAATAAGCAGTTCAGTAATTTTGGAAAATAAACATTTAAATGAAGCATTTAATATATGTTTACAGAAAGATTAAAATAAAGCAATTTGAAGAAAAATTACTATAATTTTAGAAATATATGTTACTAATATTTTGACAAGATAATCTTTATATTTTTACAATGTAATATATTTTAAAACATCTTTTTTTCTCTCAAAATATTCCCCTTTACTTTATTTTTTTCCATAATTTTATTGAGAAACAAATAGCAATGAGACAGTTTCAAACCAAATTGGTAGGACAGTTTCAATAATTAACACATTGCATACATTCCTCCTAGTGGTTAATTGCTGTACAAGATGCTTAAAACATCTTAAAATGTATACTTTCCAATCATTTAACAAAATACATATGGCATTGTTCACTTCAGATAACACATATCTTTGGGAATAACAAGTATGTAAACCTAACATTTGAAGTATACATTTTATGCTTCAGGAATAGCTAAGAAAATTGTTCTAATCTGCATCTTTAAGAATAGACATTTTTGTTTTAAGATTAGAGGATTTTCCTCTGCTTTATCCAGAAGATTGTTACTGAAGTTAGATCCACCTCTCAGGATGTAATCTGACAATATTTTCCTTCAGTTTCCATTCAAATAAAACAATTCTAGAAGCAAGCATAAATTAAGTCATTGCTATAGATTGGATCTTGAAGACTCCTGTGATGGAGCTATGGTGGTCAGGAAGGTCTGTTGTGGGAAGCATGGAGCCATTAGAAGGCAGGACATGCTGGTCTTTGGGCACATATCTTCAAAGAGGATTGTGAAACATTGGTCCCTTCTACTTTTGCTTCTTGGATTACCATGAGCCAAATGGTTGACTTCACCATGAACTACTTGCCACAACCCTTCATGATCAATGGAGCCAATCAGTCATGGACTGTAAACTTTGACCCTGTGAACTAAACAAGATTTTCTTTTTTACAAACAGATAATCTCAAGTATTTGTTATAATAAGGGAAAGCTAACACAAAATTTTCCAGTAATGTTTGATTGATTGATTGATTGATTGATTGATTTTGGCAGAAATGGGATTGAATTCAGGCCCTTGCACATGCTTAATCTACTGAGCTATCTCCCTGGCCCCAGTGTTTGATTTAAATAATATTTCTAATTCTACCTGTAACATACAGCATATCTGTCTTAAAGGCCATCTTGACATACTGAAAAGATGAAAGGAAAATTTAAGAGAAAGCAAAAGAGAAACCACCTATTAAACTATATTTTATAAAAATTAAGAAAACAACTACTTATACATTTGAGGCATGCATATTTCCAAGTTAGTATCTAATTTTCATTTTACACAAAAATATATATTTTCTAGATACCAATGCAAAGTTGAAGCAGTAACTGGATTAAGCTTTATATCGCTAGCAACATTTAGACAAGCCTCTTCAAATACAACTTTGGAGTTTTGCTACATTTCTTCCATTCTGAAAATGTCCCCTTTTTGTCTTGCAGTAAAAGCCAACATTAAGTATAGAAGCATATGATGGAAACATTATATTCCTTTGACAAACATATGCAAAGATAGTAAACTAGGCCAAGATGTAATTTAGAAAAGACTTCATAGAAACTGGATAACAGACAAAATATTTTAATTACCACAGTGTGCGATCTTTAGGCAGCACATACAAATGCACTTAGTGTCGACAGTAGTTTGAACTCTTCACACCAAAAATAATTAAGTGGTAAATTAGTAAAGCTTATATAAACCAAGAAATAAAAGGAAATCAGTCTCAAAGAAAGTTGTTCTGCAGTTTGAAGTTGCAGAGCTATTTTTGCTTCTAATGGACTAAATGATCACTAATTACTCTTGTTTTCTTCCTCTCGTTTCTTGTAGGCTTTGTTTAACATCTGGATTTCTTCCTGGTAGCCATACTTTTCTTGATGTTGCCTCTTACTGTTCTGTCTGTGTGCTTCAACAGTGTCTGGAATGGAGATGTTGATGTCACCATCAGGATTACTTGTGGGTAAAAAGAGAGAGTATGAGGCTGTTTCCCCTAACTCACATGAAACAAATCTGTTTTCTTTCCGTGAGTAGCGTAGTGAGGGTGATCTGACTTGTGTAGAAGACTGGCTGATGTTGCTAATAATTGAAACAGTGTCCAAGGCCTCTTCATTGTCACAAATTTCAAGAACCTCCAAGTGTATTTTCACATTGGTGTCTGCAAATGTTGACGGAGAATCCTCTGGGTTTGGTTCATGGCCAACACTTTTAGATCGGTAGACTTCTATTTTCTTAGAAGCTGGGGTTATTTTTTGACCTTCTGCACTTACTTCATATGTAGAAAGAGAGAGGGTTTTCCCTGTAGGTGCATGGAGAGACACAGTCCCTTGGAATGCACACAAGGGAATGGCAAGCCCACCGCTGGAACGCTGGAAACAAAAACAAAACGGTTATTATTGAAAACTAGTTTCAAGGATTTGGACATTTATAAGTTGATTTCATGTATCAGCATGGTAAAGTTTATCCTTTTTTTTTTCTTTTTTAGAACCATTTCCTTAGAACCTGATTACATACAGTATTTAGGATTTAAATTCTGTCACCAAAGCATCAAGCTCAGTTTTTCCTAGGTCACATACAAAGTCTAAGTATAGTGAGGAACCTTTTTTTTTAAGATGAGGGACTATTTTCTCACATTTGAAGACAAAATTTCTGTACTGATAAGCAGTAGGGAAGATATGGAACATAAAATTGAATGTGTATTTATAATTTGGAATTGCTTATATATTTTTGTTAAATGTTCAGTTATATGTAAAAGTCTGCATAAGTTGAAAGAAATTTTTTTTTACCTACAGTGATTGATATGCTATCTATTTTCATCATCAAATATGTTGCTCAGATTAACGGATATAGTTATGCAAGATGGGGCATATGATTGAGTATTATCACATGCTTCCAAGAAATCTTAAAGTTTTTGTTCTTATCTCTCATTTTCTTTTATTACCTTTTTAAAAAATTTACTTTAAAGAGAGTATAGTAATAATTGATTTGACATTAGAAATGGTACACAGAATGAATAGAATAATTTGTTCTAATGATGTTTGTAAATAGGATCTCAAGTCCGCATCTTGTACAGCAATTAACCACTAAGAAGAATATATGCAGTGTGTTATTTGTTGAATCTGTACTTCCGATTTGATTTGAAACTGTCTCATTGCTATCTGTTTATCAATAAAATTTTGGAAAAAGAAATTAAAAAAAAAAAAAGAAATGGTACACAGGGATCGGGGAGATGCCTGGCAAGCGCAAGGTCCTGAGTTCAATCCCTGGTACTGCCAAAAAAATAAAAAAGTAAAAAAAGAAATAAAAATTAAAAAAAGAAATGGTACCCATTTAGAAGACCAAGATGACAGGTATTTCAAGCATGGTTTTAGTATTACATGTTACTGTCTTCAGTGTACTTACTTAGCTCATAGATATCAATATACAGAGTTAGTCACAGTGAGAATTCTACCCATTAACTGCTATTTTCAAAAAACCTGAAGGTTGGAAGAAATTTATGCTGCTATCAACATGCACTTCTCTTAATTAGTATGTCAGAGAGAATGGTAACTGTGAAACTGTGACTCAAATGAAGTGCAAAGGATACTTCAGCTCTGAAGTTGAGCATACCTGAGAGGAGCCTACCCTCCCTTATTCCCTTCTTTACTTCCTTTCCCCTTCCTTTCCTTTTTTTTTCATCAAAAGTCTTCCTCCTAATATAAAATGTGGTGTGATATTGGATCATTTTAACTCTTTCATGTGCATGTGACACATCTGGCTAGTAATGCAGAATACATTGTTAAGGGAGGCACCCGTCTTTTTAAATGGCATCATTATCAGTGTGATCATCCTTGGTAGAAGACTTCACAGCTTTACTTTGTGAAGCTGAGTTAAAGGGCCATCCAGAAACATCATCCAGAGAAAATAGTTTTCTTATCAAAAACAGAAACTTGTTTCTTTCTAAAATAAAAATTTCCTCAAACATTATTCAATTAGAAATGTCACATATAATAGTGTATATTATAAATATTCTTTATTCTGAAAGCTCATTAATCTGAAAATTGAACTCTTACATTATACTTCATTATGAGAAAAAACAAGTCCCACTTCAATCCTTCAAAAATTCTTTTTTCCTTGATATTGTACACTGATGAAAAAATGTGCTATGGCATACATTAGTTTAAAAACATAATGAGAAAACTAAGCTATCTGTCCCCAGCAGTATATACAGTTCTATTTAAAAAAAATCTTCACTAGAACATCTGCATAATCAGATCTTTGTATGCACCCCCTTTGTACTATGGATGAGCAGTCACTATAAAAGCAGATTAAATTTTTCTACACTCGATTTTATACAGTCTACATAACAAAGATTTTTAGTAACTCATCCGTGATAACCTTACCTTCGAATGAACAAACAAGCTGTACTGACTTATCAAATAACAGTTCATTAAAGTTGGCATTTTAGAATTGCATAGTGGTAGTGAGTGGCTAAATGTGAAGCCTGATCTTTTTTTTCTTTTCTTTTCTTTTCTTTTCTTTTCTTTTCTTTTCTTTTCTTTTTTTTTTTTTTTGCAGAACCGGGGATTGAACGCAGGCCCCTGCGCTTGCCAGGCAAGCACTTATTCCACTGAGCCATCTCCCCAGCCCTGAAGTCTGATTTTTCTGAAATAGTACACAAAGTCCTCAGTAACTACAACAATTTTCTAAAACATTCATATCCAAATGGATAGCTTCCCTTTGAAGGTTATAACGACAAAAACACAGACAACTTAAAACAACCTGATCACAAGTATACCAAAAACTTTCGAATAAATATTTCTCTAAAGAAGATATGAAACTGTCACAAGTATATGAAAAATGTTCAGAATCATTATTATGAAAACACAAATCAGAACTACAGGGAGATACAACTTCAGACCCTTTAGGTTTCTGCTGTAAAGAAAATAATGTTAAGAAGGATGTATAGACATTGGAATATTTGTATACTGTTGATAAGAATGTAAACTGGTGGGATGATGGAAAAAGTATAGTATTTCCTCAAAACTATAAAAACAATTATCATATGATGCAATAAATCCACTTCTGGCTAAAATTCAATTCAAAATAGGATCTTGAAAGGATGCTCATAGATCAGCATTCACAGCAGCATTTGCAAGAGCTGAAATGTCGACCGATTTATAGAGTTCATAAACAATGGCATTCCCTTGTGTTTCACACAATAATGTATCTGGGCTAGAGTATTATGAAAACATGGATAAAGGATATTTATCCATGTGGGGTAAGGAAAAAGAAAGAATCTTTCTAAGAATCTTCCTGGATCAGAGTTCAGTTTTTATAGGTAAGTGGAAATACTTGGTATGAAATGCTCTTGAGTAGCAGCAGTTCTAACTTGGCAAAAATCAAGGAAAAAAAAAAAAAGAGTAAAAAACACAAGTATTGAACAGGAAGAAACCAGGACATCATAATTGATAAATTAAAATAGTTTTCCTAAAAGTAAAAACTATTTAAGAAATTTAGCAACAAGTCCAAATTCTAAGTATTAAGAAAACAATAGCTATTGCTGATGAAAAATTATTTTAAAAGGGTGCAATTCAAAATTTGAAATAATGTAAGAAATCTTATGAGGAAAACTGCATCAACGAATAATTGTGAATGAGTAGATAAAGAAGAGATGTTTTCATTTTTGTCTTTTTTTAAAAAATCCTTTTCCCTTCCCTTCTTCCTCCCTATCCTTCCCATCTGAACAAGTTCTTCCTCCTTCCCAATATCTGTCTTCCATTTTTCTCCTTACTTACCCTGTGGGTTTCCCACACAAGAGAAACATGTACTATTTAAACTTGTGTGTCTTTTGTGAAGGGGGAAGAAAAGAGGGCTGCAGGGAAGGGAATGGAAAAAAAAAGAATAAACATACATTATGTTCTGGTATAAACTCCCCATGATGAATGTGATCATTATGTATGGCAAGCATACTACTAAAAAAAAATTGACTAGAAAATACACAAATAAAAAATAGACAAAAGAAATAATGTTTTGTATTGAAAAATTATATTGTCAATATGGTTTTTTCATTTATTGATTTAAGATAACTTCAAGAAAAATTCCAATTAAATATTTTAGAACTTCAAAATTTGCTCTTGAGATTTATATGCATGCACATGCTGTCAATAACCAAACAAAAATTGGAAGTGGACTAATGAGATAAATTTCCAAATGTAACATACACAGGGTGTTAGTGGAAAGATTTGATATATCTGTGAAAGAGAATAGACAAGAAACCAAGTATAGTATATCATAAAAGTGGCATTTCAAAATAATGTAACTTGTGTGTAAAAAAAATCTGAAAACCAGAAAATATAATCTCTTTTATGGGAGGAAAAATTTCCCATTTATCTTTATTTTCTCTTAACACTCATAACAGTATCTAGTGCATGGTAGGTCCTCAAAAAATATTTGTCAAAAGAATGACATTGTGCATAAATAAATGAATGTGTGCTACTGATCTCTGAGATTTTTGAGAGTCCAATTTTAACTTCTTAAAGCATAAAGATAGGATCTTTAAAAATATTACTGTTTATGTTTTATTTTTATGTTTTGAAAGCGCTGTATAAATGATGATCATTATGAATGCATCCAAAAGTCTTGCTAGAATACACTTCCTATAAAATATATGGGTCTTAGTTGAAGGCTTCTAGTATGACCAATAAGGATAAATTCAGAGAACATAAAATTCTTCATTTCATTGTCTCTAACTTCTATGCATTTAAAAGTCAATGAATTAGCATAGACTGTCACGAATAATAATAATCCATTACTGCTGTAGTCTTGAGTGTGGGTGGATGGGAGCTCTTTTATTCTGAAATGAAAAGCAGTCTCTAACCTTCACAAGTACTTCAGTAGGAGAGAGCTTGCTATGTAAATACATTAGCACAAATAATATGCTGTGATAATTGATTCAGGCTTACTGACCTTGGTTATGTTGAATGTTTTTATTCTTAACAAGTCTGTAAGTGAATTCAAGGTGAAATTATAATATGAAAAGAGTTGCTCTAAATTTGTCTCCTAACAAGGTGAAGTATTCCGTTGATTATCTGAATCATTCAGTTTAAGAAAGATATTACAGTATGTAGAATCATAGCCATTACCCAAGACCATAGAATTCATTATAGGTTTTTCTACCCCGCAAGCTGGAACTATGTCGTTAACTCATGAATAATCGATGTGACTGATGATTCAAATATAGATAGAACTCATTCGGTGATTTAAGTGAAGTTAGTCTGCTAAAAAATACTCATTTAAGATTTTAAGTCAAGCAGTTGTTTTGGGAGAGAAGGGATAGAGATCTCAAAAGAAAAAATATATATATATATGCAATAATTTTGTAGAAAAA